AACCCCTCTCTCTCTCAGTGCAGTGTTAATGTGATGGAGTGTCCAGTCAGTGTGTCTTATTACGTACCTCAGCCTCTCAGTGTGTTGTGAATCTCTCCCTTACTTGCAGGAGCAAGAGGGCTGTGAGTGGACAGGCTGGCGCCTGCTGACGTTGGCGGGGCTGTTCGACTGCTGGTCGCCCCCTGGTGGCGGTACGTCTCTCTACACCTACACAATCATCACAGTGGAGGCGTCCCAGAACCTGCAGAGCATCCATGACCGGTGGGTCCCTGGGCTCTTGCTGTACCTTAGAGACTGTACACGCTCGGCGTACGTGTAGCAGCGTGCGTGTCCAGGCATGTTGCTGCTTCTGATCTCTCCCACAGTCCGAGTGGGGCTTGAGTTCCTGTCCTGGGATTTCTGTGATGTGTGTGGCTTTGCTGTACCTCAGTCTGCGTTTGCCACAGTGATCCACAGGGGTCCCTGTAGAGCAGCAGCCGAGAGGCACTGTGTTACCGTGGGCTTTCTGCTCCCTCAGGATGCCGGCCGTGCTGGACGGAGAGGAGGAAGTGAGGCGCTGGCTGGATTTTGGGGAGATCCGTTCCCTGGAGGCGCTCTCGCTGCTGCGCCCCAACAACACTCTGACCTTTCACCCTGTGTCCACGCTTGTCAACAATTCACGGAACAACTCCCCAGAGTGTGTACAGCCTGTGGAGGTGGGGGTCAAGAAGGTAGGACACACACACACCCACACACACACACACTGGACACTTTAAGCTCCGGACAGACAGTGGACACCTATACTGGACACTGTGAGCTCCGGACACTCTGTGCTCGGACAGTGGACACGCACGCAGGTCCCGGTGCTCCCACCCACTCCGTCTGTCCCGGTTCCCCAGGCGCCGCCGCCCTCCGCCAGCAGCAAGGCGATGATGACTTGGCTCCAGAGCGCCTCCCCTCAGAAGAGGAAGGAGCAGGGCCCCCTGGCCGAGCGGGAGAAGCCCGGGGAGCGTGGCGGGGGCACCGGGGCGGCCAGTGCCAGCGGCAGGGGAACCCTGCAGAACTGGCTGATCAGAACCGAGCCCAGCAAAAAAGCCCGAACCGGCTGAGAGAGGGGAGCAGGCTCTGCTCTGGTCCCTGTGTTCTCAGGTGGACGTGTTTCCGGTGGTCTGTACTGTTCTCTGGAGTTTCCTCAATAAACAGACTGGTTTTCCCTCTGTGTGCAGTGTGTTGGAGCCCCTGCTGGGGGTTTGTCCTTGTTCCCTCATGGGCCCTTAAGGGCAAGGTGTGTGAGGTCAGAGAGCGGGTGGGTGTGTGTGTGAGGTCAGAGAGCAGGGGTGGGTGTGGGTGTGTGTGTGAGGTCAGAGAGTGGGGGTAGGTGTGGGTGTGTGAGGTCAGCACACTGGGCTCTGTTGTGCACTGGTCCAGTCCAGTGTGCTGCTGTCTCTCTGGAGTCCTAAACCCCACAAGCAGCCCCCCTCCCGAGCCTTGGCAGGCCTACTGTCTGGACAGGTAAGTGAGGAATTAAGGTCACCCTGTCCTGCTGCAGGAAATGCACAAATAGCTAATGCCACACCTGCACTGAGACACGGGTCTGATCCTCTGCCGAATAGAAAAAGGGCGCTTTCAAATGTGCTACTGTTGACACTTGATTTAAATCAGATGCCTCTCTGATTGGCTGTCACTGAAGCAATAGTGGCTCCCTATTGGCTTTTCACTGACAGAGCAGGAACTTCAAGAGCCAATGGGAAGAGAGCATCATCATCCTGTCAGTCCAGCGTCACCCCAGCAACAGGCCCCGCCCAGGCGTGACGTGCAGCAGCCGAGTCTGCGCCCCGACAGCCTGCTGCCCTCCAGGAGCATGTTTACACTGCAGTAAGCTTCCTTAATGTAAAAGCGGTGCCCACGTAAAACAGTTCATATATTTGCATGCAAGGCACACGCTCGCCGTTGTTGTGCTCTTCGGGACCCGCCCTCAATCTCCTCTTCAGCCACCCCGCCCCAGCAGACACGCAGGACACTCACAAGCGTTTAAACATTGTTTATTAAGCAGCTGTCATCCGAGAAAGTGACAAGTTACTCAAAACTGCTCAAAGCAAAAAGGTCTAACCAAGCGGCTTACATGATGCAGACCTTAAGCATTTTTTTTTTGCGTTTACCCCTTCAACTCCGTTCCCCCTCCCCGAGCTGCCGCCCACCCTAAAGCCCGCCTGCGGGTTCTGCTCAAACGCCTACAGGCGCCGCTTTCGAGCCGCAGCCGGACTACATGTCCCAGGGTGCACAGGGGCCGAGCACGGCGGAAGCTCGGCGGTTGCCAGGCTACGGGCGAATCAGTGCGAGCAGCCCACCCCTGTCCAGCCGTGCGGCCCCCACGCACGACCGCGGGACCACCGAGTCCAGGTCCGTACCGCCTGCGCCGCCACCCTCCTCCGCCCTCGCCCCGGTACAGAAATACGTCATCCTCGGCACCGGGCCCCCACCCACGGCAATTAGAAACAAACCCAAGTACAAACGTTAAAAAACACGCAGATTAACCATCTTTTAAAAAAAATATATATAAACGAAACAAAAAAAAAACGGAAACGAACGCATTATATGCAACAACAGGGGTTGGGGAGACAGCGCTAGGCGCCGTGCAACAACACTGTTCTCTTACAAAAATAGAAGCATCTCCGATCCGCCGGCACGGTTCGGCCCGGCCCGGCTCAGGCGCGCTTGGCTTTCGGCACCTTGGGCACGCCGGGCTTGCTGGCCTTCTTGGGCTTCTTCACCGGCTTGGCCGTCTTCTTGGCTGGCTTGGCCGTCTTCTTGGCCGCGCCGGGCGCCTTGGGCTGCTGCTGCGGCGGCTTCTTCTTGGGGCTGGGCTTGGCCTTCGCCTTCTTCTCCGGGGGCTTCTTCGCCTTCTTGGCGGCCGCGGCGGGGCTCTTGGCGGCCCCGGCGCCCCTCCTGTCCGCCGGCTTGTCGAGCTTCTTCTTGTTGAGCTTGAAGGAGCCGTTGGCGCCGGTGCCCTTGACGCGGATGAGCGAGTCGTTCTGCACCAGCGCCTTGATGGAGTAGCGCAGGTAGGTGCGGCCGTTCTGCTGGTCGAACCAGCTCACCTTCTTGGCCTCGTTGTAGATCTTGGCCAGCGAGGAGCCGCTGCGCTCGCCCAGCTTGCGGATGGTCTCCACCACCAGCTGGCTGTACTTGCCCGGCTGGTTCTTCTTCTTGCCGGACCGCTTCTTGGCCGGGCTGCCCGCCGGCTTGGCTCTCTTGCTGGCGGCCGTGGGCTTCTTCTCGGGCGCGGCGGGGGCCTCCTCGGGCACGGAGACGGGCGCCGTTTCCTGGACCTCTGCGGCCATGGCTGTGATCGTGGGAATGTGAGTGGGAGTGGGAGTGGGCGTGTGTGTCCGGGTGCAGGTGAGCTGCGAGACGCGGAGCTGGAGCTCGAGCCTGTGTCTGAGTCTCTCGCGCTGCGGCGGTCGCGCGCTTTATAGGCGAGGCGCGGACCTCGTTGAGAACAACAACAGCAGCCTGTGCGGCGCGTGCAAAGTTGTGCTTTCTGCAGCTGCTTTCGTGGGGCTTTTCTCGCGCGCCCCAGGGGCGCGGGCAGGTTTCGGGGCGTCGGCGCGAGCCCCAGGCGCCGCCCTGCCGAGCGGGGTGCGGGCCCGCGCGCTGCGCCCCGGATTCCGGGTGGAAAGCGCGGAAGTGGAGAGCGCACCCCGAGCTCGCTGCGATGCACAGGATAGGGGCACCCTCTTCCCGGAGCCCTGGCGGGGACGACGGGCGCTCTCCTGGGGAGCCCCCGTCACGCCCCGGCTGCGGAGAGGGGGTTCCTTGTGACTGCAGCGCGAGGGGTCCGGTAGCTCCGGCGGATTTTTAAATATCCCGAGTTTAATTTGTTGTAACTAACACAGCGGGCGCCCCCCCGCGGCCGCTTTCGGCATGTTTCTGCCGGGTGGAATGAAGAGCTCCGTCAGCTCCCGGTGCGACACCAGAAGCGGCCAACTGGCAGCGAGTAAGACAGCCGTTCAGCCGCTGACACGAGTGTGTCCACTGGGATGTTTCGCGGTAATGCTACATCGTGAAACACTGCAGTATTGAATGCCACGGACTTTGCACGTTTACTGCACTCGTGAATGCGTGTACAGATCCGGATCCAGATTCGTGAACAGGCTACACATTAGACCGCGTCTGGGCTGAATTGTCGCGCTTTTCAGTCCTGTCGCTGCCTTGTACACAGGTCGCCCATAGCGCACTGGCTGAAACTGAAGCGCTGTGAGAAGATAGATCCTACAGGCACTATATATATAAAGTAGTTCCATATGAAAATATGAATATGAAAAAATAATTTAAAGATTATGAACCTAGTGAAAACGATATTGTCCATCACCTCCGGCCACGCCTTCTGTTATTGTATGGCTTCGTCTGTCTCGCTACAGCAGGTTCCACAGTCGTATAATAAATAAATCAGATCGCGCTCGGACCTGGATCCTCCCCTCCTTGATACGGTCCGTTGCTAAGCTGTTCTCATTGGCAGTGGAACATCACGGCCGCCGGACCCGAGAGTGATCGTT